TGATGCAGGGACGTCCTCCCCCGACGCAGGGACGTCCTCCAATGATGCAGGGACGTCCTCCCCCGACGCAGGAACGTCCTTCCCCTGACGCAGGGACGTCCTTCCCCTGACACAGGGACGTCCTCCTCCGACGCAGGGACGTCCTCCAATGACGCAGGAACGTCCTCCCCCGACGCAGGGACGTCCTCCTCCGAAGCAGGGACATCCTCCCCTGACGCAGGAACCTCCTCCAATGACGCAGGGACGTCCTCTCCCGACGCAGGGACGTCCTCCAATGATGCAGGGACGTCCTTCCCCTGACGCAGGGACGTCCTCCTCCGAAGCAGGGACGTCCTCCCCTGACGCAGGAACCTCCTCCAATGACGCAGGGACGTCCTCCAATGACGCAGGGACGTCCTCCCCCGACGCAGGGACGTCCTCCAATGACGCAGGGACGTCCTCCCCCGACGCAGGAACGTCCTTCCCCTGACGCAGGGACGTTCTCCTCCGAAGCAGGGACGTCCTCCCCTGACGCAGGGTGAGAAGCAGAGCGGGAGCTCCTCGGAGGCTCAGAGCCGGTTCCGGAGCTCAGAGCGGGGCCAGAACCAGCGCTGCCGCCGGGAAGGGGCTCGGAGAGCCAGCGTTTTGGCTGAGGGGACCCAGACCCTGCCAGCACACCCCACTCGTGACTGTGACCCCGCTGCGCTCTCGCACTCGGGCAGCAACCACACTCTCACGCGGGGACGCAGGCAGGGCAGTCGCGAAGTCAGTAGCTTCCCACTGTGCTCCCTCCGCCAGGGTCTCTGTGGGGCGGGGCGGAACCTCCGGTGCCCGAGGCTCTGAGCCTGAGCACCCCGGTCTGCTCCACGCCCAGCCTCCGCCCTGAAGTGGGGGCCGGGCCGGCACGGGGTTCGGCGGCAGCGCCCCCCCCCCCCCCCCCCCCGGTGCTGGAGGCCGGCAGCGATGGGTCGGGCGCACCTGCAGCCCCAGCGCCACACCCCGCACTGGTTCCGTGTCCCCCGGGGCCGGAGGACCCCCGGCTCCGCTCCCCCCGGAGGAGTCACCGGAAACGCTCGGCCCCTTCTCGTGACAGCGCCTTCGCCCTCGTCTTCGCCCGCTGGTCAGTGAGGTGCCCCGCCAGCCTCACACAGGACACAGGCACAACTGCGAGTCGCCCACACGGAGGCCGGTCCTCCTCTGACTGGACCGTCTGCGACGGGAGAGGTCCGCGCCCCTGAGGAATGCCAGGCACCCGGGTGTGAGTGATTCTGGGCCCACGAGACGGTGCCAAGTGGTGAGGCCGGTGGATGCCGAGGTGCTCCCGACAGCGGCCTGTGTCCCTGGTCCTTGGGGCACACGCCCAGGCCCCACGCTGGGCATGGCTGGCCTCTCCCTTCTCTCTTTTTTTTTTATCCTCACCCGAGGACATTTTTTCATTTTTTGTTCAGGTAGAGTGGGAGGGAGAGAGAGGAACAGAGAGAGAGGAACATCGATGTGAAAGGGACACATCGAGTGGTTGCCACCCGCACGACCGACCAGGGCCGGGGACAAACTGCAACCGAGGTACGCGCCCTTAGCGGGAACCGAACCCGGGTCTCTCAGGACCGCAGGCCGACACTCTAACCGCTGAGCCAAACCGGCCAGGGCCGGCCTCTCTCTTCTCACAGGGCAACTGTGCCACGGGGCGGGCCGGAGATGGCAGGGCCTCCTCGCCCACCCCGCTGAAAGGCAGGTCGTCTGCATTTCAACAGCAGCGGAGACTCTGATTATTTTTGCACCACTCACAGCACTTTGCAATGAAATACTCGTTTGATTGATGTGCCGTGGGTGTCGCCGGGGTTTCTGAAGAGAGCTGAGCTCCGGAGAGACTCGGTCGGTTCCCTGGCACAGCTGGCCCCGCTCCCCGGGGACCATACCGAGATCTGGCGGAGATGCCAGGAGATGGCCGAGCTGGTGTGCATACCGTCATTAATGTCCTTCATCGTGGGAAGACGGGCAGCGTCCCTTCCTTGAACTGTGAAAACCAGAGAACAGCACCCACCCTGGGGGCGGGAGGCTGGGGCCTTCCAGGGTGTGCTTTCCCCTCCTTGTGTGGTTTCCACTTGAAGCATTCATCAGCGCTCCCACCTCGGTCATGGTTACACGTTGAGAGCCCCTGACAATGGGACAGTGGCCAGTTCTTCCCGAGCGATTGAGCTCCAGGGGGAGAAAGCCCCACGCTCCCCACAGGTCTCCCTGGGCCCCGGAGGCCACGGGCCGTCCCTGCAGTCTGCACGCCAGTCTTATCCTTCTGGAACCATGGAACAAGGTGGCCCACGAGCCACGCCGAACCTTTACCATCAGATACACGTTACCCGTTAAAGCCAACGATGCCGCTGTGATTCACTGCTGGGTGTTCACACCTACTTTCATCCTGAGCACTTCCCACGTATAGGAAAATACATCTGCAACATGAATGCGCAGACACGAGCGAGGTGTGGCCACTCATCGGTGCCTGTAGACGAGAAGGAGAAAAGACGCACAGTGATGAGGGGGTGCAGAGGGTGCGGTCCCATGGAAAACCTTTCGGGAACTTACTGGGGGAGGGGGCAGAGGAAGAGCCTGGGGACACCAGGGCAGGGGAGGTCGGGGCCTTTAAAGGTGGGATCGGATCGGGTCAGCTGGAGGCTTTGCCAAGGAGAACACAGAGCGGCCTGTGGATGGGAGCATCAGGGTGGTTCTGAGGGCGGGGAGATTTGGGGAAACAGCTCTCAAGTTCTTCGCTGGAACCGTGCGGTTCCCACAATGCGCCTTCTGGGGCGAGAACCCCTGCGGGTGCCCGCAGCCAGTACGCTGGGCTCCTGCTGTGTGCACCTCTGAGCTGAGCACGTGTGCCTGACCCAGTGTGACAGTGACAGCGTGAGGAGGCGACAGCGGTGCCCATGTCCCAGGAGAGGGAGGCACTGAAGGTGACCCGCAGGGCAGGGTCCTTAACCCAGGGACTGGGAGGGGGAGAGTGGGTTCTGCTTGGGGGGCTGGCCCACCGCCGGGTCGAAGGCAGAGCCGAGGGAGCTGGAAACGAGTGCGGAGCACGGTTGGCGGACTGGAGTGTTTTTGTTTATTGTTTGATTGTTGAAAGTATTACGGATGCCCCGTTCCCCCCACTGACCCCCTCCTTCCCACTCCCACCCCACCTGCTTTTCCCAACCGAAAGTCTTGTCCATGGCTTGTGCACGTAAGTTCTCCGGAGTGTTGTAAGAGCCTGAGAAGAACACAGCGAGGCCTGCTAAAGAGGAGGCAAATTGACGGGGAGATAGGTCGCCCCAGAAAACATCCCTGTGTGGCCACCGCAGGGTCACCAAAGGCCCTGGTCACCTGGACCACAGCACCGTCCAGATTTCTCACAGCCCGCCTGGGAGTGGTGACCCCGGCTGTGTCTAGGGCCTGAGTACCATTGCCCCCTCCCCAGGCAGCCAGGGGCAGCTGACCCTGTGTGCACCCAGCCCTGCATGCCCGCCTTCAACTCCGACCGGGTTGGAATGGGCGGTCAGTGAGCACAGCGTTAGGGATGACTGTCGGGCCTCAGAGGTGGAGGACCAAGTGGGCGGGCTGCAGGGGCGAGGGGAGCGGGAAAGGGCAGTGTGAGTATGTGAAGACCCGGAGCCCTGGGCCTGTGCGCTGATACACCGGGAAGCAGAACCGGAGCTCACTAGGAGGAGAGCAGCATGAGGGCTGTATTCCAAGGTGAAGGTCCCCAGACGCAGTACCGGTCAGCTCAGCTCACCGGGCTTGATCTTTAACTTCCCCCTTTTAACGTTCAGTTTGTTCTTTTTGAGAAATATCTATTTCATGTAACCGAACCAAACCCATGGGTCTGGTTTTTTGTTTGTTTTGTTTTGTTTTCTGTTTCTATTTAATCGATAGTATTTAAACCAGATTGGCGGGGATTACACCCAGGAGAACTGTGATGTGAACCATCGCTGACTGTTAGTTATGTGGTCATTTCCCCTAAAGTAATTCGCAGGGAGTCCCCTGAGTCCTGGGGAAGTAAATAGTCAGGTTCCCAAAGTTGGAAGCAAGGTCCCAGCCACTGTATATTCAGCAGAAACGGTGGGGCCTCTGGCTCTTGCTCACCTCGCTCCACGGACAGCAGGAGGAACGAATCTGTCCTGTTAATACCCGAGTTTGAAATGAGTGTCTCATTTCCCTGAGAACCAAGTAAGTCCTCTATAAAAATCTATTAAAAACAAACAAACAAAAAAAAAAAAACAGTAGAAAAAGCATCTGAATCAATAAGCACACTGAAAAGCCCAAGGAGGTCAGAGTTCGGAATCGCATTGGGGACACAGGAAGGGGAGACAAAAACCTCACAGACTACGTCTGACTGAAGAGGATGATCGGTATAGCTTCATCCTGTCTATAAGCAAGAAGTGCACATGGATGAATGACAAACCTAGAAATTCAGGAAACGCTTGTCCCATGTAGAAAACTTTCTTCCTAAAACTGGCCTTCTCTTTCCTACCTGTCCTCCCTGTTCTCAGGATTTGCATTCAGCATCCTGTTACCTGTTAGTCAAGTGAAACCCAAAGCTTTGAACTCCATAATGACGCTTTTAAAAATGATGGGGGATACTAGCACATTTAAACAAAATGCTACATTGCAACTCAGATGATAGCTATCTTCCTATTCTTTAGCAACAAACACAGGACATGTGTATCTATATCTACTAATTCTGAAAGATTTCCCCAAGAAAAATCAGAATAACCATCTGGAATTCAAGACACCTCACAGAAGTGAGCACAGAGCTCAGCCCTGTGTTCGAGTTACAGTCACTGCTTCTGAATTGGGTGACCTCCCTTAAACATCGTAACAACAGTGACTCCAATACCTGACATTGGGACAGCACATGACAGTTCCCACCGAAAACCCCGAGTGGCAAAGTGCATGTTTGGTTTCCCTCATGCATATACATTTGAAAAACAGGCATCCCAAAGCTTCCTATTTATTTTTCTAAAACCGTGTTAATTTCTTGTTTATTTCAGGCATTACTAGAGACTCAAAATTTACTGCGCACTCAGGTTGCAAATTTTACCTTCAACCTTGGATTTTCAGGGAAGTTTTACCACACAGGTAAGAGGGGCGTGGTGTGCTCAGGCAGCGGTGTGTGTCAGGAGAGCCAAGTGTAAATGTCACGGGCAGGTGGACGGTGGCCGCACAGAGGACGGGGAAGCCGTGGGCACCTTAGATTGGAAGCTGGTCCCCACACCAGTGCCCTGCTTTCCTTTGGCAGATGCTTTTAGAATCAAGGGCAAAGAGGAGGAGAATGGACTTTTTCAAAGCAGTAGAGAAAACCGTCACTGCTGTGCTGTGTGAGCCTTAGTGTGTGGGGACAGCAAGGTGATGGTGATGATGATGACAGAATAATAACGGACACTGGTCTGGCCCGAGTGGCTCAGTGGTTGAGCGTCGACCCATGCACTGGGAGGTCCCCGGTTCAATTCCCGGTCAGGACACATGCTCAGGTTGTGGGCCCGATCCCCAGTGGGAGGCATGCAGGAGGCGGCCAATAGATGTTCTCTCTCATCGATGTTTCTGTCTTCCTCTCTCTCTAAAATCAATAAAGTAAATATTTTTTAAAATAAGAAGGACACTGTTTAAATGGCCTGATAGTCGAGGTGACAGACAATTCTGTAAATATTCTTTTCCTTTGATGAGAGAGGAATTTTGTAGCCTCAGTGAAACTTAACAGATTGGAAAGGCCATCCTTCCGAGTTCACCCTCCCTTACAGGATATTTCTCTAAAGACATTACCAATAATTTGGCCCGACACGCAGTGACACCATCCAACCAGGCTTGCATGCCGTTCCATCTCCACCAGCCACTGTGGAGGCTGACTGTTGAAGTCTCAGCCCCATCCCCACTCCCAGATCGAGACTGGTGTCCACGCAGGACTCTAGGTTCCACTATTTCTCACCTCCCCCACCCTCACTCCAGAAGCCGACTCTCGCTTCCCGGCTGTCAGCACTGAAGTGTGTAGCGGAAGCGTGGAGGAAGATTTGTGCCCAGAAGGGATGGTCTCGCGATGCCGAAAACAGCCCACAAGGTGTGATAATGCCCGTTTTGGGGCAAAATCCGCTGCTGTGTCTGCATCTGGCGTGAGCCGATGTCCCTTTAGGGCTTCGCACGTTCTCCTGTCGCAGCGAGAACATTTCAGGGTGGTATGTAGGCCTGCCTGCCGTTTGTTGACTCATTAAGAATATCTCATGCAAAGGTATCTTTAATTATCACAAATGCAGCTCGTTTACCCAAAGAGGCTTCCCAGCGTTTTCCCAGAGAGCCTCGGCATGATCCATGAGAGCACAGCGCAGCGAGGTCTTACTGGCTTTTCTTTACTGCTTTTCCCTCCTGCTTTGAAACATGTAAATCTGTTTAAGCGAACGGAAGGAAAATTAGTATTTAAACCAGCTGATAAATCACATGATTGCATACTGTAAAAGGGCATTTTGCCGAGAGAGATTGGGGTCCTCATGGCCGCGCAGGCAAAGCAGTTCCAGCTCACCGTCTTGAGAACAGACCTGCTTCGGTAAATCTTCTTCCAAGTCCCCTGAAGAAATGAGTCCCTGCTAGGGGAGTTCTGGCTACGAGGCGGTAAAGCACAGAGGCCCGCAGGCTGCGCCGCCTGACACGGAGGAGAGATGGAGCCGCTCGGAGCCCACGAACAAGACTCTTGTTTTAACGAGCGGGATGGTGTAAGTAAAGCTGTTCTTTGGGCTGAAATATGTCTGGATAAGTGCCTCCACTTTTATTTACCTTTCGTACCCAGGCCTCTTAGGCCTGATGGTCCCAGAGTTCGTGTGGATAGAAGCGCTCACTCCTCATTTCTCCTTTATAACCCTGAACGTGTACCCAGCACCTCTGCCGGGAAACCCACGGCACACGCATTACTATCACAGGGACAGTTATTCAAAGGACATGCAAAAACATGCGTTTTCATTACATCTCTGAAACGGACCTCCTCGGCTCTGCAGGTTGGCGTTAGCCTGACAAAACCCATGGAAGCAGCACTGTTCCCTACGCCACGGTGACGGTGCTCGCGGGCGATCAGGCGACAGGCAGGAACTTGTACTCCTGGAAGATTCATGTCCTCCCATCAACATGGGACGTTAATTGATTTGCTACTTTATGAAATGCACCCAGGACGGATTTCCAGGGTGCCATTGTACTGTACTGAGGTCACACAAACTCACTGGAGCGGAGTGGGGCGTGGACACACCTCCCCGCACCCGCCACTTCCTACAGGGAGCTGTAGCCACAAGGAGGCGGCCTTGGCACAGGGACCCTCTCCGTTCCCCCGGGATGATCGGCTCTCCTGACACCCCAGCATGCTGCTGAGCGATGAGCCCTGTTGAAGACATTTAACCACATCCACCCAGCAAAATGCGGCCAGATTCCACGTTTCTTAGACCGCTGCTCTTATTTGTACGTCCGGTGCACCCTCCCTGTTCCATTTCCCTGCCCTTCACCTGCTGAACAACCTCCCCCAACCACACATCACTAAGCCTTTCCTGAAAGCCCATCACACACATTGGAGGAGGAGGGACCTGCCGCTGATGAAAAGGAGAAAACCAAATAAAAGCCTGGGGTTTGGAGTACAGCATTTTGGCCTGGAGATGAATATGTATCTCCAGCATTCCTGGGGATCGCTGACGCTGCTCCAGTGAATCACACCGACGATGACTCCATCCATCACTTCACGTAAGGTTTGCAGATTGGATTTAACGTTGGTCTTCCCACTAGAGTTCATGTTATAAAAGAAAAAGGCCCTTTAGAAAGCTATTAACTTTCGAACATGAACGTAAACACAGTTACCTTCCTTGTCCTTTGCTGGTTTTGCTCTTTGGGGCACAGGACTGGTTCTGAGAGCAGGTGTTAGGTGCTGCCTATTCTCCCAGCGCGTGAGCGCGAGCTGGCTCCTGAACCTCCGTGTCTTGGGGCCGCGTCTCCATCGGGAACATCGCCCTCTCCCCACCCAGGACAGAGCAGTGCAGGTTGGAGTGCTGGGAAAGTCTGTCATTACGACTTTGGAAAGCATTGTTGTACACCAATCAAGTATTATCAGAAAAGTAAACCGTGAACGATCCACCTATCTCTATGCTCTAATTTTGGAAATATAAGTAGCTTTTGATTTCTATCGCAGTACAGGCCGTTTTTGTAGTATAACATTAAAATGAGTTTATTTTATACCCAGCTGTATGAAACCTTACCAGGTTCAGTGTAAAGAAAGAAATAGCTTGTCATTTGGGAGTTACCATCCTCACACATAATGATGAACAGTTGTGAGGAGGACATTTGTACAAAAGCCATAATGCAGACATTTGTGTATGTCTTCTTTAATGATACAGTGGTGCCTAGGGATTTAACCTACAGCCCAGATCCTGCTAAAATCACCCTTATTTTGGCAAACGTGAAGAACCTGTAGAAACATGTTATAACACAGATCCTCCAAAATGGGTAACAGAGAACTGAATTCTTCACTATTTTAATTCTGAATCAAAACAAGCAAAAGGAAACAACTTGTGCCTGAGAAGAAATATACTGTATCTCTAATTAATAACGATATGGTCTTGAATCTGGGTCCAGTTAGCAGTGAGAGGCTCAGTCCCATCCCAGATACCTGAATGGCCTGTAACTTGTGTTCATACGAGCACATATGAATTGCAGATTGTAATGTCATGTCATTTCAGCACAGATTAGGTGTAGAAAACTGTTTACAGTGAATGAAAATGTGATATGTCCATTTGGTTGGATCAGATAACGTCTGCAGGTCAGCTCTTCAAGACCAGTCCCCAGAGGGCCTGGGCACCCTGCCTGTCACTGAGCTGTATCTGGAGAAAGAGCTGCCTACGTGGCTTTGAGCAGTGGGACCCGTGTGAAATAAGAGGAAGCTGAGGAGACGTCAGTCCACCAGGTCGGAGGGAGCGGCTCGAACTGTCGCTCTCAACCTTGTGGGCAGTGTTCATGAACCACTGCAACCTGTGGATGAAAACGAGTAAGCCTTTTATGGCCGAGCTTCTGTTCACATCCATGGTCTGCACAGCCCTACTTCAGCCAAGTGACGGCCTGTCCTGCACGCATGGCCACCGGGGATACTCCAGATGTGCAGCGCAGCCGGTGGGGGCAGAAGGACCAGTGTGCTCAGAACCTGGACAGGAAGACACTCCATCTGTGCCTCAGGCAGCCTGAGCAAAACCGTGGCATGCTTAAATCCACCCGAGGATGTGGGGAGCTCGTCTTCATTCGGATTTCAGTATTTGATACTTTAATGTGTTAATAAAAGTCAATGAATTTTAAGTCCGCAGCATGAACACGTTAGAGAAACTTAACAAAAGCTAAGCCTTCTGTCTGCTCTTCTTTATGTAACACCTGATCACATCCGAAGACTCTATTTCCCCTTTGTACAGTAGCAATCAGTACAGTAGGGAGGGTGACCCCTTAACTCTAAGCGGGGGGCCTCACTTTTTCGATAGCTGGGACGAGGGATGTCCCAAGCACAGGGACAGACCGGTGCACAGACAGCGACGCCCTGGCACTCACGCCCTGCAGGCGGCTCAGTCACTCAGAACTCACTGCACAGAGTGGCCCCGCCGGACAAGCTAAAGGGATCCCATCGCTGACCGGCAGACGTGAACAGTCCAGGCAGGCGATGACCTGAGGACTGTTTAAAAGCGTACATTTAGAACATGGCAGGCACAAGCCGGCAGGGCTCATGAACTGGCAGGTATTATTTTAAGAAGAAAGAGATCCTAATATCGACGAAGCACCTACTGTCCGCAGGTCTCAGGGCTGAGGTGCTTAAAGAGCCCCTCATTGACCCTTCACAAAGATTTGCTGGCGTGGCGCTCATGTCCCTGTCTCCAGGCCACGAAGCTGAGACTCACAGAAGTCACTCGTCCAGGTCACAGCGTCCCGTAGGTGAGAGAAGGAGCGTTCATCCCGGTACTGACGGACGCCAGTCCCGGCTCTTCTTGCCGTTTGACCAGTGAGCTCTTCACTGCAGGACACACACTGCAATGTCTGGGGAAGACACCTCTACACACACCGTGCATATTTATCTGCTTAATTTAAGTGAAGAATATAAAATCAAGCAGCCCCCTGTGAAAAAGAAACCAAACGAATCCACCTTGCCAGCCAGGATTCATTTCGCTTCACTATTTGTTAAGGATCTCTGCTCAGTTTATTGATTCATAACATTTCAAAATTGAACTGAATATTGTAAAATTGTACAAATGCTCTAATAATGTCATATAATCAGAATATTCCTGAATAGCTCAACTTGGCAACTCCCTTAGCACTAAGTTATACTTTTCTTCTTTTCTTTTTCACACTTTGGCAGGACGAGTGTTTTTCCTATGCATTGGGCACTGTTACTGAGTTTCCCTAGTGAGAAGGAGAAGTTAATATTCGTTTTAAATTCTCAAACCACGTTTCTAGTGTGTTTCTAGATTCATTGTTTACATTTTATGAACTATTTTTATCAAAATGGGAAATGTTTGTATTCATAATATTCAGTTAAAAATTGTAAAGACACAAACATATTTATACAGGATGAGCTTAACTTTTTAAGAAAAAAGTAAGTAGAGCCCTGGCCAGTTTGGCTCAGCGGTAGAGCGTCGGCCTGCGGTCCTGAGAGACCCGGGTTCGGTTCCCGCTAAGGGCATGTACCTCGGTTGCAGTTTGTCCCCGGCCCTGGTTGGGTTGTGTGGGTGGCAGCCACTCGATGTGTCCCTTCACGTCGATGTTTCTCTCTCTCTCTCTCTCTCTCTCTCTCTCCCTCCCACTCTATCTGAACAAAAAATAGAAAATGTCCTCGGGTGAGGATTAAAAAAAAAAAAAAAAAAAAGAAAAAAGTAAGTAGAAAAAGAAATAGACCCAGAGACGTAGAAATCAGTATGGTTCAGACTGACAGCCCTCCGAGGAGAGGGGGGGAGGGGTGGATGAGATGAACCAAAGAACTTACATTGCAAGCATGTGTAACCAATGGACATAGACAACAATGCTGGGGGCTGCGAGGGGGCGGGATAGGGAGGAGGGTGTCTAAGGGGGAAAAAGGAGAAACATTTGGAACAAAAATAAATTAATAAAAATTAAAAAAAAAAAATTTTAAAGAAAGATACCAAGCGGTTTCGCTGGTTTGTTCTGGAACAGGGCCTCTGTTTCCGCTGGGGAAGACGCCTGTTCTGATTTGGAGTTTTACGTATGTCTGGTCTATGCTCGCCACGATTCTTTGATGCCGTACATGATTCTCGTAATAGAAAACCACTTACAAACGTCCTCAGTTACATCGGGAGCTCGGTTGCAGACTTGGGCATGGACTAAGGGAGAGAAGTAGTAAATGATGATCTTAAAAGAAAAGCAAACAGCTTAAAACCAAGTTTGCTGTTTAGTCCCACCATTCCCAACTGCGTCCGGGATAAAATACCCCGAAGCCCTGAACCAAACACCTCTCTGCCCCGGGGCCCCCACACCTACGTCACCCCTGGCCTGGGATGTCGTTTACACTGTAGCCACTGGTTGTAGGGGAGCATCGCGAAGCGGGATGTGTGTGTTCGTGGTAAGGAGAATAACTGAACCCCGACAAGCATAACCGTTCGGCTGGGCTGGTAGGACCCGCACTGACGCCGCTTCCACCTTGTGCTGCGCAGGGACGGCGGAGGAGGACGAGGGCGACGACCGGCTGCTGCGCTCGGCGGCCGCCTTCTGGTGGTTCCCGCACATGTGGAGCCACATGCAGCCGCACCTCTTCCACAACGAGTCGGCGCTGGTGGAGCAGATGGCCCTCAACAAGGGGTTCGCGCTGGTGAGTGTGCCCCGCGGGGCGGGGCGCCCAGGAGCTCCTGTCCCGGGACCGCGTTGGGTCGAAAGCACAGAAATCGGGCGGGAACGTCAGACCGTGGGTCTCCCGCGTTAAGGGCGCACGTGGCTTTGTGTGCGCATGTGTGGGCGCGCGCCTGCGCACTTTGGGCCGGGATGTGCAATCCGACGTTTCTGAAAAGTAGGCCCTGGTCAGAAAGCTCCCCGCCCTGTTTTACGGGGGCCGGTTCTTGCTCCTGCGAAGAGCAGCAGCACGTCCTCCGTGGTATTCCTGGCGCCTGCACTAACCGAGCGTCTCAAAGCCGTGCGCAGGGCAAGGCCGGGCGAGGGGTCACTAGAGCCGGGCGGTGCCCGCAGCCCAGCAGGCCCCCTCCTCCCACAGACTCCCTGCCGCCTTCCTCAGTCCCTGGTCAGCACGTGGTCAGAGCGCCTGTGGATCTGCATCCCCAGGGCATTGTGACGACGTGTTCGCCTAGAGAGGCAAAGGGAGAGGCAGCATGCACTGTCTGGGGTGTTTAGGGGAGGGGGGGGGGAGTCACGCAGTACTGTGTGGATGAGCCTTCGGGGCGGGGCCACCTCCAAGTCCCCTAGTCATTTTAGTCTGGTGGTCTTGTCAACCAGTGGTCATTGGCATCAATTCAACACCAACAGGAATATCCAAGGGGGGGTGCGGAGGAGGAGGAAACCTCCTTCAGTGTAAAACAGCTCAGTCGTGACACAGCAACAGGCCCCTCTGGGGCAGACAGGTCTGTGCTGCTCCGGGCTGGGCTGCCGAGCTGGGGTCTGCCCCCCTGGGCCGGTCTGCCCCCCTGTGCCGGTCTGCCGAGCTGCGGTCTGCCCCCCTGGGCCAGTCTGCCGAGCTGGGGTCTGCCCCCCTGGGCCGGTCTGCCCCCCTGTGCCAGTCTGCCGAGCTGGGGTCTGCCCCCCTGTATCGGCCTGCCGAGCTGGGGTCTGCCCCCCTGTATCGGCCTGCCGTGCTGGGGTCTGCCCCCCTGTGCCGGTCTGCTCCGGCCTGGGCCGGTCTGCCGTGCTGGGGTCTGCCCCCCTGTATCGGTCTGCCGTGCTGGGGTCTGCCCCGGCCTGGGCCGGTCTGCCGTGCTGGGGTCTGCCCCCCTGTATCCGTCTGCGGAGCTGGGGTCTGCCCCCCTGTATCGGTCTGCCGTGCTGGGGTCTGCCCCGACCTGGGCCGGTCAGCTCTGGGCTGGGCTGGTCTGCCGTGCTGGGGTCTGCCCCCCTGTATCGGTCTGCCGTGCTGGGGTCTGCCCCGGCCTGGGCCGGTCTGCCGGTCTGGGGTCTGCCCCCCTGGGCCGGTCAGCTCCGGGCTGGGCTGGTCTGCTCCAATGAGACAGCTCAAGTGTTGCAGCTCAGCCAGCCGGCGACAATCTTAGTATTTGGTGCAAAGGGACCGTCCACTCCCAGCACCAGAGGGGAGCGGGTTTATATAGAGGGCCCCCGCCCCGGCCCTTGATTGGTTCACTCTCATGCAAATGAGGGCTCCAAATCCTCAATGTTTGATTGGTCCAATGGAGCCACCCTGATTGGTCGGTGAAGAGGCTGGTGGGGACATAGCTGCATCTCCAATTGGCGGGGAAAGCCTCGGTCCTATTGGCTGAGCCAGGGTTCCAGGGTGGTCAGAGGGCAGACGGGCAGTTCTGAGCGGGCTGCCCCCTGTGCAGAGGGGCCCCCGGCTCTGTTGTGTCTAAATTTGAGCCCAGGGAGCCACCAGGAACCCTTCTTAGGAGGCGTCTTCCTTCTCAGGGTCCACCGTCCTCAGTCCTGCAGTCGTCAGTCCTGCTTTCTTATCATTTTTGCTACGTTCTCCGGGATGCAGGGTTGCTTCCGGCCCAGGGGAAGGGTAGGTACCCTGTTCTAACACCCCAGAGGGCCGAGGCCTGGGGCGGCACAGCAGGCCCTGTGCGGCCGCGCGGGCTGACGTCCCCCACGTGGGCTGCTGGGCCCGCAGCCCACGCCCCGGCCGGCGGGCGGTCGGGTCCCCTGGGCCGTAGCTGGCCGCGCTCTGCGTCGTCCCCGCCCGAGGAAGCCGTTTTGTTCTTCGTCTGCTCTCCTCTGTGAGTGTCTGACCGTCACGACACAGGCACGCTTGGTGACATAAAGCTGAGTAACATTCGAATTTCGACGTCCACACGGGGTGCTGGGGGGCTGGCCCGTGCTCCGGCGGGCAGCTGCCTTTGCAGCCGCAGAGTTGAGGGTCCGAAGGAGACGGTCTGGCCACAGAAGATCAAGTCGTTAGGATGGGACCTTCCCCCGGAAGTGTGCCCACTGCCGCGCCTCTAGCTAGAGCAGCAGCCTTGTCACCGTCTCGGGCAAGAACCCTTCCCCAGGCAGGTGCTGGGGCTTCCTCCGGGTTCCCCAGTGCGGAGGTGGGCAGGAGAGGCCAGCACGGACCGGCCCCGGGAACACCGCCGTCGGAGGGTTTGACACCAGCCGCCCTGTGCGCCCTGCGGCGCTGGGAAGCAGGTCAGGGGCGCGGTCCTCAGGCCCAGGGTCCCAGATGATAAATAAGCCTGTGAGGGTGAGTGGCCCGCGCTGTCTGAGAGCTGAGTCCTGGCCTGCGCCTCGTGGGAGTCTTACGGTGCCGTGAGCACTGCGACCAGCAGTTAGGAGCACGGAGGTCACCGTGGTGCCAGGGTTTGCGTCCTGACTTCATCCACGCTGCTTGGTCTTAAACAAACGTGACTCGGCCTCGGCCTCGTGTCCCGTCTGTGAAATGAGAGCATAGGAACAACCCACTAGGGTTGTTTGGAGGCTCGGAGCAGAGCGGATGGCGACAAGCATTCAGTAGGTGTCAACTAACCAGCTGCTCTTAACCCAGATGGGGTGCAGTCTGTCTTCCTTCAGAAAGCCCAGTCTTTTCCAAAATGTGGGTTTATAAGAATGTTTCTATTTACTGACTCTAGGGAATGTCTAACAAAGTTGCACTGCTTCAGAACATGATATAATTAAGTAAATATTCCCTTTGCAAAACATAAACGTCTGTCCCCACGTCCTCCATGCCCCTGAGGAAGGTGCTGAATTGTCAGGGCAGCTGCCTTGAAAATAAACTGTTTCTCCATGGCCGGACCCTAGCCCACATCACTGCCACTCTAAGGCTTGTTTGGGGCAGGTGGGTGGCACTTTAGATGGGCTGAGCTCACCTGGCTGTGGACGCCCCCTGAAAGGCACGCTGGGCAGGGGAAGACTCCAGCGCGACTGCTCTAAGGCGACGTCCGAAGCCACTGAGCGGCCTCTCAGAACAGTTACGTCTGTGAGTCAGTGTGGCCAAGAGCCCGATGGAAACCTATGAACACAGTTTGTAAACACACATCGGATCATCTGTTGCATAGTCTGAACATCATAACTGAAATGAGTCCACTGGACACACACACTAAAATGACTGTCCTTCTGGAGTCTAGGACGGGTCGAGCAGTGGCCTTCAGAACTTCACCTTGAACTGTGAACACAGAGCAACACTGTGTCCAATCCGAGAGCCAGGAGATGTACCCCTTCCTCCTTACATAACTACCCTCCCGTGTCTGCGTCCAGAGGACAGGACCACCGTTGGCACCACGATGGAGAATGGGCGGGAGGCCCTCCACTGAGGACTGAGTGGGGCCCTGGCCCGTGTCACAGGTGTGAACACAGCTAACTGCTCATGGGAGGTCTCCATGCCTCAGCGTCTCCCCGAAACAGCAGTGATTCCTTTTGCATTCTCCGAACTATCCAGCTTTTAGGTAATTAATTTACATCAGCCCGAGTGCTGACCGAAAGCACTGGACCAGATAATGCCCCGATCAATTCCAATTCTAAAGCTCGGTGATCACCGGCAACGCCGTCCAGACTGGGAATGGACATCTCGAAACCCTCATCGGGCTGCAGTCGAAGCAGTTATAGAAAGAGATTCTCACACTAAACGACCAATTTATACTGAGAAAAAACGCCAAGTGTTTAAATCTCTTTTCTATTTCATCCTGACATCCGTCACTGTGCCTCGGTGACCCTGGCCGTCGGGATTTGTCAGGGCAGCACAGCGGTTCTCCACTCACAAAAGCGAGTCTAATGGCAGGCTAGCTCCCTGTCGATGTTTCAAAACTGGTTAAACCATCAACCAAGATAGTTTTATTTGTAGAATTTCTCTACATTCTCTTGAGATAGAGTTTGTTTGCTGTTGTAATATGTCTAAAAGTCACAAGAAAACACATTGCAGGACTCTCTTTACCGTGTTTCTACATGAGAAGAGTGTTTTACCCTAAAGCACCATAATGCACAATCCAGACTCACGCAGCGGGGCTGGGGGTGCCCATCGCGGCTGTGCGTGTTAGTCTAATCCCTGAGCACGTACGTGTGCAGTGTGAGTGTGTGTGCATGGATGTGTATGCTTCCTCCATGAACACCTATGCCATGTGCACGTGTGTGTACGTGTGGAGAGTAGTCTCACGGTAAGCAGGGACCACCAAGAACATGTCGCTATTAGACATGGTATCCACATGGCCACAGGGTCGGGGAAATACATGTGGGCGAGAGTGGTGAGTAAATGAAACACAGAGTTTATTCTTGTGTTATTATTGATTGATTATTGTATTATTTTCCATGTGAACAACTGTAAACCTGCTTTTGCCGCACCCTGCATTTTTTCTTCTTTCCGTCAGTAAACCATGCCTCTTGACCGCATTCCATTGTGTGAACGGGTCACTAAATGGAAGTGGTGTTCCAAGGTGAGGACAGAGGACTGGCTCGGTTTAAGCCCTCGGTGGGAAGTTACCAGAATCACCCTGACCTGCCCTCAAACAGCTGCTTCTCCAACAGCGATGCCCGTGGCACAGGGCTGCTCTGTCTTCTCACTCTGCAGCGGGAGAGCTCAGAAATGGAGTTTGTTGTCTTGAGTTTGTAGACACACTCATCACCACCTTCAGATGAGTGTGGTCTTTCTGCTCACAGTCGGCCAGAGCCCAGATGCGCCCGGAAGGAAGGGGCTCATCCGCTCGCTGC